GGTCCAGGTTCATGTTATGTCTTAGGCATTAGCAAGGGCATTCGGCTTTGTCTGGCCAGAGAGCCGAGACTCCTGCGATGTTGCATGCAAATGTCTAGCTGGTGCATGATCACGACCGCAATAAGTCACCGGCGCGTTCGGTTGCTTTGTTTTAGGTATGGTTCGGTAGACCTCGGCGCATGTTTTTTGGAGCTCTGCGCGACATGTTGTCAGCGTATCACGGCATTGCACTTGTCTTCGAGAACTTGTGGTTCTTCTGCAAGAAGAAGTAGCTGACCTCAGAGCAGACCAGATCGAGCAGGCACACGTCAGCGACTTGAGCAAGAGCTTTGGCTGCCAATTCCACCCTGGCCGTCTGTACATCCGTCCAGCAGACGCCGCCTTTTGCGTCGTCCGCAGAAGCGGGCTCCGGCACGTCGTCTTGTCGGAGAACACCGAAAACAACCGCAGTTGCCTCCGATGTTCAAGGACGGTGTCGAAAGGTGCTGTACAATTTAGGAAGAAGCGTGCAAGAAATCGTCACTTGCATTCGTCTTCTGCTGCCCCAAAAGCGCAGGCCCTCCGGCATGCGATTTGCACGGTATTTTCTCTCCGGTGAATTTTCTTGATTGTTCAAGCAAAGGTCGGCGTTTGCAGTGTGGCAGTGACGCAGGTTGAAGTATCGCAACATGTATTCTGGATTTCTAAGCTGTCTCGAAAACAATCGGAGACAGCGTGGCCGTCGGCATGTCGCACTGCGGCTTGCAGGCTGGCTCGAGGCCAAAGCGTCTCGCCGGGTCAAGCACAATGTGTTGACATTGTTTTCGGACGAAAAAGTTACCTCGGCAGTTCCAGTCTGGGAACCCCATGAGGCCTCGCCGCGACGGAGAAACCTCCAAGGTTCGCAAGCCCACCCTCCGTCGCAGTCTCCCTCCCCTCCGCCCGTGGCCTGGCCACGTTCTTGCGAGTTCAGTGCAATGGTGGGGCGAACCGGATATGTTCGGCTTCTAGCAAAGCATATCCGGCTCGCGCCCCGTTGCGTTGCAAGCTGTGTCTTCCGCAGGACAGTTTCGCGTCGTCGCTCGAATTCCATCCCGTGGGTCGTGCAACGCCACGCCTCCGGCTGCAGAAGACGGCGGCGGTGTTTCGGATCCTGCATGGCTTCGGTCCAGGTTCATGTTATGTCCTAGGCATTTGCAAGGGCATTCGGCTTGGTCTGGCCAGAGAGCCGAGACTCCTGCGATGTTGCATGCAAATGTCTAGCTGGTGCATGATCTCGACCGCAATAAGTCACCGGCGTGTTCGGTTGCTTTGTCTTAGGTGACCTCGGCGCATGTTTTTGGAGCTCTGCGCGACATGTTGTGAGCGTCGAACAGTACTGCACTTCTTCGAGAACTTGTAGTCCTTCTGCAAGAAGAAGTAGCCGACCTCAGAGTAGACCAGATCGAGCAGGCACACACCAGCGACCCGACCGAGATCTTTGGCTGCCAATTCCACCCTTGCCGTCTGTACATCCGTCGAGCAGACGCCGCCTTTTGCGTCGTCCGCAGAAGCGGGCTCCGGCACGTCGTCTTGTCGGAGAACACCGAAAACAACCGCAGTTGCCCCCGATGTTCAAGGACGGTGTCGAAAGGTGCTGTACAGTTTAGGAAGAAGCGTGCAAGAAATCGTCACTTGCTGTCGCTTGCTGCAGACACGAAAGCGTCACTTGCTGTCGCTTGCTGCAGCCGCAAACCCGCAGCAGCCTTGGCACGCGGTTTGCACGGTGGTTTCTTTGTTTTTTTTGTCACTTTTTTGGCGACCTCTTTCTGATAGTCCACGCGGCGGTCGGCATGTTCCTGCCGGCCTGAAGCTGGACTGGACGGCAGTGTGGCAGTGAGGCAGGTCCAAGCATCGCTACATCTATTTTGGATGGCTAAGCTGTGCTGAAAACATTCGGAAACAGCGTGGCCGTCGGAAGTCGCCCGCTGCATCTGCAGGCTTTCCTGGCGTCAGACGGTCCCGCGGGTACGTCGCAGGTCTGTCTTCAGACGGTCCTTGTGTCAGACGCTCGAGTCGGCGTGTCAAATGCACAGATCACGTTTTCCGACCCGCTCAGATCGAAACTTCTTTTCGGTGTAGTCTCCGGCTCAAGAACAGCTCGGTTCTCTGACCCGCTCAAGCCGTTCTTTTTACTCTGTTGTCATGGTTCTCATCTGGAATTCACGGAGCAGACGGTTCAACAGAAGCCGTACTTTTTTTCCGTGTAGTCCGACGTCGATGTGCTTCGAGCGGTCGTCTGGCGATCACGGACGCAGCTTCTAGCAGCCAGGCCAAGCATCCGATCAGATGCGAAATCTATGCACTGGTTACTAGCGTGAACGTACGCGCGGCTTAATGGGAGCCAGAAATCCATCCGCCGGAGCATTCGCGACATCATGATGGCAGTCATCATAGCGCAGCTGTTCTCCTTGGAGCTCGTGGTCGACGAGTTTCTTCTTGTCCTCAGAGCATAGATGTCGGCAGCCAAGATCTTGCACACTGCATTGCCTGCTACCTCGGCAGTTCCAGTCTTGGAACCCCATGAGGCCTCGTTGCGACGGAGAAACCTCCAAGGTTCGCAAGCCCACCCTCCGTCGCAATCTCCCTCCCCTCCGCCCGTGGCCTGGCCACGTTCTTGCGAGTTCAGTACAATGGTGGGGCGAACCGGATATGCTCGGCTTCTAGCAGAGCACATCCGCTTCGCGCCCCGTTGCGCTGCAAGCTATGTCTTCGGCAGGACCATTCCGGTTCCATCGCGTGTGTCGTGCAATGCGACGGCGGCGGTGCTTCTGATCTTGCATGGTTTCGGTTCAGGTTCACGTCATGTCCTGGGCAGGTGCAAGGGCATGCGGCTTAATCCGGCCAGAGAGCCGAGATTCCTGCGAAGCTCGCACTCAAACCGGTTGCGGGGGCATGCTGATTGTTTCAGAAAGCAACTGGGGTCTCCGGCTGTTCAGACCGATGCGCGGTTCGGCAGACCTCGGCGCACGTTTCCGGAGCTAGCTTCGCGCGACGCGACACTGCTATATATATATATATATATATATATATATATATATATTTATAGATATATATATATATATACATACATACGTATATATATATATATATATATGTATACGTATATATGTATATTTGCTTCTTATAGACAAGTTCCAGACATTCTGCAGGAAGAAGCAGCTCACCTTACAGCAGACAAGACGAAGTAGAGACCGACCATGCAGACGACAGCGATAGGGGTAAGATCTTTGGCTGCCAATTCCACCCTGGCCGTCTGTACATCTGTTCAGCAGGCGCCGTCTTTTGCGTCGTCGGCAGAAGCAGAAAAAAAGGCACGTCGTCTTGTCGGAGAACACCGAAAACAACCGCAGCTGCCCCCGGCTTTCAAGGACGGTGTCGAAAGGTGCTGTACAATTTAGGAAGAAGCGTGCACGAACTTCCGACTTGCTTTCGATTTCCGCAGCAGCTCTGTCAGGCGATTTGCGCGTTGGTTTCTCGTCCACACTCTCATTGCTGGATCCGGCGATCCTTTTCGTCAAAGCGATCGCAGTTGATTCTGCGGTCCGGTTTCTTTTCTCGCTAGGCAGGCCCTAGCATCGCAAAGTGCATTCTGGATTGCCAAGCCGTCCTGGAAACCATCGGAGACAGCGTGCCGTCCTGGAAACCATCGGAGACAGCGTGGCTGTCGGCACCTCGCAGCTCGCGGTCCTTTTGTCGGACGGTCGCGAATGGGTGCGGGCATGTCAAGCCGAAACTTCTCTTCGCGAAGTGTCCAGCTCTCGGAGCGCGGTTCTCTGACCCGCTCAAGCCGAAACTAGTTTATCTGCAGTCACCAGCTCTCGTCTGGCCTTCACCGAGCAGACGCTTCGATGAAAGCCGAGTATCCTTCTTGTGTACTCCGAACCCGAAGTGCATCTGGCGGTCATCTGGCGATAAGAGAGCCAGCTCTGCTGCTTCATGCCATCGAGCCACGGCCGTGAGCCGAAGCATTCGCGACGGCATGGCAGAGAATATATGGAAGATCTGTGCGCCGCGCACTCCGAATCCGAAGTGCATCTAGGGGTCGTCTGTCTATAACGGAGCCAGCGTCGCGGGAGCCATTACAGCACAGATCTTGGCATTCCAGATCTTGCACACTGCGTTCTTTGTTACCTCGGCAGTTCCATTTTTGGAACCCCATGAGGCCTCGCTGCGACGGAGAAACCTTCAAGGTTGGCAAGCCCACCCTCCGTCGCAGTCTCCCTCCCCTCCGCCCGTGGCCTGGCCACGTTCTTGTGAGTACAGTGCAATGGTGGGGCGAACCGGATATGCTCGGCTTCTAGCAAAGCACATCCGGCTCGCGCCCCATTGCGTCGCAAGCTGTGTCTTCGGCAGGACAGTTCTGCCTCTCCACTGCAGTTCCACATTGTCGGTCGTGCAATGCGACGCCCACGGCTGCCGAAGACGACGGCGGGTTTTTCGGATCCCGCATGGCTTCGGGCCCGGGTTCATGTCATGTCTTGGGCAGTTGCAAGGGCATTCGTCTTATTAGTCCGGCCAGAGAGCCGAGACTCCTGCCACGGTTACATCCAAATTGCTAGCTGGGGCATGACGATTGCTTCACGAAGTCGCTGGGGTCTCCGGCTGCTCGGACCGACGCGCGGTTCGGCAAACCTCGGCGCAGGTTTGTGGAGCTCAGTTTGGCGTGACACGAGACTGCAAGATTGTTGCTCCCTATCGACAAGTTCCAGACTTGCTGCAAGAAGAAGCAGTTGACCTTACAGCAGACAAGACCAAGTAGAGACTCATACGTACGGTACACGAGGAAGATCTCGGGCTGTCTATTTTGTGTCGCCCGTCTGTACTTGTGTCCAGCAGCTATAGTCTCCTGCTTTGTTTGCAGAAGCGGAAGCGGGCTCCGGCGCGTCGACTCGTTACACAAGATCGATAGTTTGTCTAGTCTGTCTAGTTTATTCATGCAGGCTGTGCCGGTCTTTTTCTCTTTCAGGAGGACGTACTGCTCACTCGTTGGCGACCGGCGTGGACGCTCGCCCCACCATCCTCTGTCGCTGGAAGAGTCCTTGAACGAGAAGCAAGAGATCGTCCAGAAGAACGGAGAGGTCGTAACAAAAATCCAGAACGGTCGGGTTCTGCGTCTTCTCGCAAATGTATCTAAGCAGTGTGAGACAACGAGGAAGAGCCAGAAGCAACAGACGCGAAGTGGCATCTTTCAATGACCCCCAGGCCATTGTGGCTTTTACGTCGAAAGGCAAGTTTCTGCCGAGGGACACCGCCGCTTCCAGGTCGGCACGGCGGATGCATTCTTCCACGTCCAGGATGCGCTCGTCGCCGACTTGCAATTGATCTTCGGGAGTGTGCCTGAATTATCACAAAGCTGCAAGAAGAGCGTCCGCACTCATAGCTTCTATTTAGGGTATTCGGCAACGCAACAGCACAACTTTGTATTCTTGCTGCATACAAAGCGACAAAAGCGTGCTGAGCACGTCGGCGGAGAATGCTAATGTTTGTAGCGAGACAGCAGGACCGACGCGAAGAACTCGGTAGGCGGCCAGCACAACCGCGTGAAGGTCCTGCCACGCATTGTCGACGCTCCGCCGTAGTTCATCGCTGTTCGGGGACAGTGCCCGCCGAGCGGAGTGCATGGCGGCGGCGGTGTTCCACACGCCAAACGCGCAGGGCGCCAGGTCCATGTGGGTGTTGCGGCTGCAGGAACCAATGATGTCGTGTCGACTGCGGCTTGGCCTGGCTAGCGAGCCGAGACCCTGCGACTGTGCCGTCCGAATCCAGTGCTCTTTCTGGGTTCACACAAGCAACTGGGCATTCTGGCCTCTGCTCTGGGCTGCGCTTTGGTCGTCAAGCGCTGGAAGTGATTGGACCTTGGTTCCATGGTCGACAAAGCAGAAAACATTGGAACGAAGACGTTGTTCAAAGGCGCAGCAAGTCTTGGCAACAAACGCACGCAGCAGTTTTTTTTGGGGCCTTCCATGGAAGAGTTCGGGTCATCCAAGGCAACGTCATTTTCGGGGGGGGCCACCGGGCACGTTAGCTCATGAGTCCAGATGTCATGGTCGGATGCCCGCCGACCGTTGGCCCCAACCCCCCCCATATGCTCCAGGACCAACGATTTTTGTTCGGTCTCTGTCAAGAAGCAATAGACCTTGGTGTACGTAGAACGAGATCTGAGATGGTTTTGCAACACAACGGTCGAGACGCAAAACTACATGCACTCCGTCTCTTTTTGGGACCGTGGCCACTGACAGGACTAGTAGACTCTCACTTCGCGAAGGAGCATGTAGATTAATGCACTCAACTGCTTTGCCGTCATTACGCTGGCCGAAGTGTTGTGAGCCAACACGTCAGGATGCACGGCCACGAGCTGCATTCGGAGCCAGCTTGTAAACTTCGGTTTGTTCATTTCCTTTCTGGTGTCGAAGTCGTGCAGTACGAAGGATCCGCTTCGTTGGTCTCCTGAGTTGTATTGGGGTAGCCAGGAAGGAGGCAAATCCTTTGGTGGCACGTTCAGGATCGTTTCCACGCCAGTCTCAGATGCCTTGCTCCAGGGTTCTGCCGATGCTGTCCCGGTCGATGTTCCTGCGGCCGACGCTGCGGCCGTTTCCGTTTCCTTCGATGTCGAGGGGAGATCTAGATCCGGCGGCCCGGGAAGCCGGCGTGGTTCCATGTTCCCAACCTGCAAGCTAGGGCTGCGATGGCTGTTCTCAATCCCAAATGGAACCATGGCTAGGAGGCAAGGAGTCTGTCTCTAGTGTCTAATATCAGCTTGGCCTGGGCAGACAGCCGAGACCTTGCGATTCGCGGATGGAACTTCTCTTGCATTTATTGGGTAGGCAACCCAACACACGTCGAACCGACATGCAGCGACCAGACACGTTTTGGCGGTCGCCACGGACGTTTAGTTTCTGGAAACATGAAGAGCGGCATCGGATGATTCTCAGGTTTCGTCGGCCTGGGCTGCGGCGATCCACTGTCCGTTCTTTGGCATAAACCACTGTCGTATTTTATATCGACACGCCAGACGGGCATTTTCCATGCTGTCTCGATTGCCACAGCGCGTAGTCGGAGAGGATCCGGCCGCTCCAATAGACGGATGAAGACGAGGCGTCTCCAATTTCCATAGTTGTGGACGATGCGTTTAATCTCACGAGGCAATCCGGCAACTAGACAGAGCATAGGCAAGAAAGTTCGCTGGGTTCGGAAAAAGTCTAGTTTTTTCAGAGAGACGTTCTCAAGGTATTTCTCCCAGCAGAACGAGGCGAGCCGCCAGCTGTCCTGGAGGGTCCTGATAGCATGCCGCAAGATTGATTTGCAGGTAGCGCACAGGAGCTGCGATTGCATCGTCCCAGCTTGCAGGAAGCGCACCTTGATCTCTCCAGTCTGGTGGTCCGTGAGCACTGAAAGCCGAGGTAGTCTGCCCTTCCAGGCTCGCAGGTTGGCCTTGACCTCTTCGTCCGTTAGGCGCGGCCAGCTGTACAGGAATTTGCCTTCTTCGTCTTGGTATCGATAAACACGTTCTACATTTTCCCGGGGTTCGCAGAGACATAGTTTCGCCCGCACCAAGCATGCATATCGAAAAATGCGCTCGAGCAAAATTGCCGGCAAATCCAGAAGGTCTGTCTTCTTCCCGAAAAGCAGCTCTTTTCCGGATGCTGTCGATCTAGAAAGGGAATCATGGCCGGAAGGCAAGGCGTTCGTGTCTAACATCAGCTTGGTCCGGCCAGAGAGCCGAGACCTTCGGGATTGTAGCAAAGGTGCGACTTGTTGGGGGGGGGGGAGGAAATCGAGTATCCTGCGTTAATGAGGGTGTTCTGATAATTGGAGCCTTCGATCTTGTCTAGTCCTATTTACGAAACGAGGCTAGTACTGAAGAATCGTTAGTTTTCTGTGCCACTTGTTAAGAGCGTTCGGCTTGGTCTGGCTAGCGAGCCGAGACCCTGCGAACGCAACCTTCGAGAAACGATCTGGAATGTTTTCATCGAAGCGACCGGGGTCTCCGACCGCAGACACGTGGATCTTTGTATCGTCCCCTGCGTGCGCCGGGGACGAAAGGTTTCTGGACATCATGTTGATCAGCTGAGGCAGGCGACGTACTTGCCTTCTGGTTCAAGTCCACGTAGTTCTCTATCGGTTCGAGGGAGTTCCGAAACCTGCTGGCAAGGGCAGCGGGGATTTACTGCTTGCACAAGCGATCCGTCCTGTGTGTTTCCGTTTGATAGCTTCACGTGCAGGGTGGGTACGAGGCTGCCATCTGGTAGAGTAGAAAACCCAAGTGTTGAAGAGCTTCCCCCGCTGGCATCGAGTGGGTCATCATCTCACACAGACTACTGGCTAGCCAGAACGTGCGCACACATAAAGGCAAAAAGTCCTCGAGTAAGGCTCGCGCGGCAAAGCACCGACGAACGAAGTCGTAGAGCGCGAGAAATCACCTGCGATGTGAGGGGAGCGTGGCAGCGGTTGGTCAGGATGCTAGCGATCCTCTTGGAGATCAACACAAAGAGCGAGAGAACTTTTTCATGCGTGATAAGCCCGCTGCAAGCGTGGTACGTCACTCCGAAAGAAACCAATGAGGTTCAGGAAGATGGCTCGAACTTCACGATTGCACACACGCAATGCCTTGGAGGCAGAGAATCCCAGATGTAGGAGCAGGAGCGCGGAGGAACGAGCTGCTCCAAGCAAGTTGCGCAAATCGGCGCGTGTCTGTCCGGGACGCAGAAGGATCTCGGAGCGCCAGCCAGGAATCAGGGTTTGCTCCTGCAGCCATAATAGAATCAATCGTCCTCGCGGGACTCTTGCTACCTGAGTGAAGCGTCGACGGAGGCGCTCGGGGCCGGAGGTCATTCGTTTCGGTCGGACGGGGGGCATTTTTTTTGGCCGTGGGGCCAAGGATAGTTTTTTTTTCATCATTTGCTAGAATCTTCTGTGCTCGAAGCAGGTCTCGAGGCCGACAGTTGTCGGCATTCTTTTACAGTTGCTAGAAGCGTTCGGCTTGGTCTGGCTAGCGAGCCGAGACCCTGCGCTGGCGGCGAAAAAGCTTGCGTCTGATTCCTGGTTAATCGAAGCAACTGGGCCGCCCGGCCGCTGGCGCGTGCAATTCTTGTTCTGTCGTTGTCAAGAAGCAATAGACCTTGGTTTACATAGAGTCAGATTTGAGATGGTTCTGCAACACAACGGTCGAGACGTAAAACTGCATGCACTCCATCTCTTTTTGGGACCGTGGCCACTGTCAGGACTAGTAGACTCCCACTTCGCGAATGACCATGCAGATAAATGCCCTCAACTGCTTTGCCGTCATTACGCTGGCCGAAGTGTTGTGATCCGCCACGTTAGGATGCACGGCCATGAGCTGCATTCGCAGCCACGTTCTAAACTTCGGTTTGCTCATTTCCTTGCTGGTGTCGAAGGCGTGCAGGATGAAGGATCTGCTTCTTTGGCTTCCTGAGTTGTAGTGGGGTAGCCAGGAAGGAGGCAAATCCTTTGGTGGCACGCTCAGGATTGTTTGCACGCTCGTCGAAGACGCCTTGCCCCAGGGTTCTGCCGATGCTGTCCCGGTCGATGTTCCTGCGGCTGACGCCGCAGCCGTTTCCGTCTCCTTCGATGTTGAGGGGAGATCTAGACCCGGCGGCCTGGGAACCCGGCGTGGTTCCATGTTCCCAACCTGCAAGCGAGGGCTGCGATGGATGTTCTCAATCCAAAATGGAACCATGGCTAGGAGGCAAGGAGTCTGTCTCTAGTCTCTAATCTCAGCTTGGCCTGGCCAGAGAGCCGAGACCTTGCGAGTCGCGGATGGCATTTCGCGCCTTTTTTCTTGGGCAGGCAACCCAACATGCATCGGACGGACATGCAGCGGCAGGAGACGTTTTGGCGGTCGCCACGGACACGCGATTCTTGGAAACACTTACAGCGGCATCGGAAATTGCTCAGGTGTCGTCGGCCTCGGGCCGCGGCGATCCGCTATCCGGTCTTTGGCCTTAACATTCGTCAAACAAGGGATCGATACGCCAGACGGGCATTTTCACTGCAGTTTCGATTGCCACAGCGCGTAGTCGCAGAGCATCTGGCTGCTCCAATAGACCGTTGACCACGAGGCGTCTCCAATGTCCGTGGTTGTGGACGATGCGTTTAATCCCATGAGGCAATCCCGGAACGAGACAGAGCATAGGCAACAAAGAGCGCTTGGTCCTGAAAAAGTCTAGTTTCTTCAGAGACACGCTCTGGAGGTATTTCTCCCAGGAGAACGAGGCGAGCCGCCAGCTGTCCTGGAGGGTCCTGATAGCATGCCGCAAGATTGATTTGCAGGTAGCGCACAGGAGCTGCGATTGCATCGTCCCAGCTTGCAGGAAGCGCACCTTGATCTCTCCAGTCTGATGGTCCGCGAGCACTGAAAGCCGAGGTAGTCTGCCCTTCCAGGCTCGCAGGTTGGCCAAGACCTCTTCGTCCGTTAGGCGCGGCCAGACGTACAGGAATGCGCCTTCTTCGTCTTGGTATTCATAAACACATTCTTGACTTTCCCGGGGGGCGTAGAGACATAGTTTCGCCCACACCAAGCATGCATCTCCAAAAATGCGTTCGAGCAAAATTGCGGGCAAATCCAGGAGGTTCGTCTTAGGTTTTTTGTCGCAAACCAGGCCTTTCGTGGATGCTGTCGATCTAGAAAGGGAATCCTGCCCGGAAGGCAAGGCGTTCGCGTCCAACATCAGCTTGGTCCGGCCGGAAAGATGAGACTTTCGGGATTCTTGTAATTGGGTCA